GTGATGAACGCTAAGCCACCACCATTATCTCGCTCGCGATCTCGACGGTGCACGTTGTACCCGGCGCAATTCAACAAAGTTGAATTGCTGTGCAACTTCGTCTCTTGGACCGCAGCTATCAATATACCATGCCGACACATGAAGACGGTTATCTCCTCAATCTTGCTCTGTAGCCCGTTGCAGTTAAATTGGAGGAGCTTCATGTGGTTTGGGAGACGTGTCGTGATGTGGGGTGTTAGGGATGTGTGTGTTCTTACCGTTGGCTGTGTGCGCTGCTGTGATGGTTGCCGNCGGCGACGTGTGGGTAGTGGTGCGGTTGTGTGTGTTATGTGGTCTGTCGTGGCTGTGGTATGGTATGTGGTGTTATTATGTTGTTGTGCTGTGGTGACTGTGTGAGGCTGCTCGGGTGGACTGAGGTTAGCCGTGGAGGCTGCTCTGTTTGAGCAACAGTGGGCCACGTACGACGTGGTCCACTGTCGATGTGTCCGTAGTCCTGAGCAGACTCTAAGGTGACTCCACCCCTCGCAGGCATTACACTTGACTGAGGTGGAGTTGTAGTGTAGTCGTCTCTGGCATACACAGCAGGTGTAGATTTCTGGCCCTGGGTTTAACTCGATGCCAGCCCTGAGTAGAAGAATACGTAGTGAATGTAGCCCTATGGACGAGCAACTTCTGAGATACTTCGCCGACCTAAACGGGGTTAGATCGCCGAAACAACAGCCCTTGGTCGGGTAAAACCCCCGAGTCATTCTGCTGTCGTGGGAATATCTCTCCGATCTTTCTCGCTTCTTCACTGCAAAATGTCTAGCCCTCTCCCCTATGAAATCCTCTGCGACCATATTGACCACCTGGACGAAGGAGGTCAGGCTACCGCTGGGAATTCACGATGGCTGAGTGGAAGATCGACCTATCTGGGCAGCCTGTTCGAAAACGCCCTATCTCAAAAAACTTTTCAAGAACGCCATACTTCAGAATGTTATTGAAAAACAATCTATTTCAGAATTTTATTGAAAAACACTATCTCAGAATTTTGTTGAAGAACGCACTATCTCAGTACTCGGTTCAAAAAGGCCCTATCTCAAACGAAAACACATTGAAAATAAGCTGAGATAGGAAGTTTTTGGTTCGGCAGCTGAGATAGGGCGTTATTCAACCCAATTCTCAGGTAGGATGTTTTCCAATCAAATTCTGAAGTAGGGCGTTCTTGAAAAGTTTTCTGAGATAAAGCGTTGTTGAAAAATTTTCTGAGATAGGACGTTTTCGAACTGGCTGCCGAGATAGGTCGATCTTCCACTCAGCCATCGAAATACACTCGGAGGTTTGCCATTGCCTACCGAGGGGAGACCGCTGTTAAGAAAAACCTTTTTTTCTATATTTTGTTTTGCGATGTTGCTTTGACCACGGCTTGAACCCAGGCCCTGCGGAGTGGTAGCGCACTGCTAACCACTACACCACAGCGACCGCTCGCTGATCTAAATATGCCCTAGAAATATGTATGCAGTTTTGCTGTTTCATTCCCATCAAACAAGAAACCCAACAAGTACACATAAAGGATGCATATAAAAAGGTTAAAAAAGTAGATTCTCGATATTTCCTGAATATTTAAGTTTCATATACTAAAAATATTGGTTTCTTTATACACTACGGCTTAAGCAAAGTAATAGTGCTTAATTGAGCTGTTCAAAATAATAGTAGTGGTTACCTTCACAAAGTTAAAACTAAAGATATAGCCAATGTTTTGTACTATTTGTTGTTTATTTGCGTCTGATATCTCGTACGAAATCTTTTTCAGTTTAATTTGGATCAATTTTGATGTTACAGAGGGCCGCTAACATCCTGATAGCGTCTAATACGGATTTAAGCCCATTTTTCTTTCAGAATTGGTTTTAACCTTTCCTCACAGACTTTCTATCCTTTTAATGTTGGCCATATGAAATTCCTCTTTGCCTTATACCGATCACTTTTGGACGAAAATAGCTTTTTGCGCAATTTACTGGTATTTTTTGGTTCGTTAATCTTTTAGGCACCTTTTTTGTTGAGAACTTTCAACGTTCATGTGGTACTAATATGATTTCCTGTAAAATAAAGTACATTTGGTATCCATAAGGACAAATACCAAACTACGGAAAACATGCCAATATCGTAGTGATCTGCCCCCACACTTCCAACTTGTCTCAAACTGCATCTTAAGCGGTTTTCTGTATTCTATTGACGACCAATGGATAGTCTGGAAGAAGACATATCCAATTTGAGGTTATTAGATAAGACTAACACGATACCCTTAGGTGTGAGGTTTTTTGTACATTTGGTCTGGATTTGGGTACTCTTTATGAATTTGTACAACGATTTTGGGTTGCTGTGCCCAAACGCGTGAATCGAATCAAAAAACTTTTACACACACTTGAAGACAACAGTTCACGCTTCATTAGATTACAAATATTTAATTTACTAAATCTGTGCACTAATTTAACAATAATGTCGGTTGGAAATATGGTATTTATTGCAAATTTTTGTTATAAATTTGTATATACATTTTTATATACATGATATTTTTATAAAACACCCAGTAACCAAAATAGACATCACTGGGGCGGCTGCCCCAGGTTTACCACACAGAAAGGGAATTCTAGTTACTTCATCCTTTCCCAAGGTTACATCACTGGGCCGGTAGCCCCAGTTATGTCACACAGAAAGGAGAATTCTACGTAGTAAGGGTTATAATCTCTAAGCGCGGCCGAAGGCCGCCTACGCAGAAAGGTGTTCTCTGCAAAAGGTGTTCAGCCCCCCTTCTTCGGACGCAAGTTTAACTTTGTTTTTTCTTTGCAAAAAAATCTAAAATTCCCGTATTTTCAAACAGCTCCCAAGGGGTCTTTAGGGGGGGAGGAGGTGAGGGGTGACTTTTCATAAAGCGGCGTTCAACCTCCTTTGTTTAGTGGGGTTTGGGTAGCCACGCCCTCTCCCCCTCCTCCCCCACCCCTAAATCGTTGTACAAATAGCTAAAGATTTCCCCTGGATTTCTTGGAATTATTACCACTTCTCGTTTATCGATAAAGAGATGCGTTTATTTTCCTAATTGCAAAAGGGGGTACCATATTTGTAGTAATTTTACACCGAATAATAGTCAAATAACTTAAAAACTATGAAGATCTTTTTATTTCTTTAAAATGTTAGAGCTTCTCAACTTAAGCACTACTATTTTTTGAACAGCTGGTTTTTTATGCATATAGGGAAATGCATCATAAAATGGCCAAATTAAAAAAAATATTGGGATCCTTTTTACTTCCCTGTTTTTTATATTATAACTTAAAACATTTTATCACAACTCTTCAAGTTGTAAAGCAGAACATGTCAAAAAATAGCTTTTATCATTTCGCGCCGTCGCATTATTATTTGCAAGGCGAATTTATATAAGGTGGTGTTACTAGCTCAGCTGATTTTGTGGATGTGTTTCACCGCACGGCTTCCGATATCAAATTGAAAAATTTTGTTTGAATTTCTACACATACTCTTACAGATTTTGACAGTTTATGCCGCCAAAGCAAAAACAAAATACATGTAAATTTTTGTTTTTGTACTCCTGCTATCACCATATATTAATTCGCCTTGATTATTTATTTGTTCATTACCTATCAGAAAAACACACCAAGGAATTTTGACCAGTTCTACTATGCAAATGTGATTGAAGGTTGAAATGAAAAAATAACCCCATCCACCGCCCCCGCCCCCCCGTCCCCCTTCCTTGTATCCGCCACTTGTTGCGGGACACAACTGAATTCAAGTCTTAAAACATATTCCATTCAACTTATACCATGTTCTGACCGACATCGAAAACATGTTTTCGTTGCTGAAACTGGTTTTCGACCTAAAACTTGTGTTTTCGTCAATGTAAAATCTGTCAAACGAAAACAAGTTTTCGCTGAAAAGCACTTGAAAACTCACGTTCCACTCATTCCAATCGGTTTCTGTACTAGTTTTTTTCGATTATTTATCGAAGTGGAAGTCATATTTTACTTCTTTAATACGCCATTTCGGATTTAATGTTAATTGGCTGACCAAAATAAAATAAGCATGGAAGTAAAAGGTTGTTAATGAAAAGAAATTGAAGGAAAAGTATTTTGGTTTTGTATTTGTGCAGCAAAACTGTAAACAAAGGATGTAAGAAATGTCAACGAAAACACCAACAGTCGGTGTGAACAGCCCACAATCCCAAAACTCGTTTTCAAGGTGTTTTCGTTGGCGGTCAGAACATTGTATAAGCTTAGTTGTGAACCTTAATAGGCGCCTAAAACAGATTAACTTACCCGCGTATGCTTTTCCCACTCTCCTAGGGGCTCTGCAGTCTTAAATTCAAATAAGCTCTGCTCCGTTAATTGTGTTCGCTTAGAAATTTTCATATATTCACTACCTTCCGAGTTTATTACTTCGTCATCAGAACCACTCGAGCTTCCGCTAGATAGATCATCATCTGCATATATTTTCATAGGGAAAGATAATTTTTAATTTGTTACATTTTATATAGCTTTAAGGCACTTTACGAACCATGGAATATTGGGAGTAAATCTTCAAACGAAAAGTCACGTTCCCGTTTATTTTCATCTTTTCTATCGAGTCGAACACGACATATCTTTTCTATAAAATTAGCGCAAAGAACTCGACCTCGATGCCAAAGGCGGTCAGGTAATTTCGCAAGTACAACGCAATTACGTGCAAGGCGAGTAAAATCTGGTTCAGTGTAGTTTCCTAACTGATCTACATCTACAAGCTCGCCGTGGGAGTAGTGGCAATGCATATCATCGAATCGACACTCCCCTTCGAGGAAAAACAAGCAAGGCAACATCTCGCGATGAGTTGGATTGGTGAAGAGTATTCGCAAGCGAGCCGTATGGGCAGTAACCTCAATTGAACATACTATCGCGTTATGGTAACTTGTTGCGCCCCAGGAATGTTGGTGGGGTGCAGAACACTTTTGGCCGATAATGTTTTCTAGTTCGAACTTGTGGATTTTAATGATTAACTAGTTACATTCAGTAATTCTAGGTTTACCTCGAGTTCTGGAAATTTTTTCACATCTTCACTACAGTCTTGCGTGATCTTGCCGGCTGTATCATCATTACTCAATTGTGCTATTTCGCTGTTAAATTTCTCCAATTCTTCATTGAGACCACATCTATCTTCATTCTGTAACGCTTCCTTTTCATGCGTTTCCTTCGTTAATTCAATAAGTTCTAAAAGATCTGTCTTAAGACTGGCTAATGCAATCCGCTCTTCCTCGTTTTTGGTGTTCTGTAAGCATTGCTCTACACTTTGAAGCTGGAAGTGGTTGAAAGTATTTACTGTGAATTTTCATTAGGAATTTTATTATAAATTACCTGGGAATCGTATTCGTCTATATTTACAGCCATTTTCTTTAAACGCTTAGCTGCTCAGTATATCCAGTAAAAAAACTGTGGTGAAGTCCTTTATGGGGATAAAATTTCCAGAGGTGAAATTTTAGGTAGCACACAATTCTTACACGCATGGTTGCTTTTCAGCACTCATGAAAGAAACTTGAGAAATATTTGAAAAAAAAGTTTATATAGTACATTAATTTTGAAAGAAATACCATATAATGTATGTACTATGGTTAATAATATCAAAAAATGTATTAGAACCACCGTTTAATGTTATATTTGATACAAATTAATATTGCTGCCCCGAACGCTCTGCGCGTTGCCACTGAATAATAGATTACTTAAAATTACATCCCTGGTCCTTGTTCTTTCTGTATCGCATCGTGGTGACTTCACATTTCTCAGAAATTTGACAACAAAACAAAACAAAGCGAGTATTTTATTTGCTAATTTTTGCGATTTCTATTGGAGGTGCAAAACTATCGATAGTTTTCGATATTATTTTCATAACTATCGATATATCGTCGATAGTATCGTATTTATATGGTTTTGGCTCAATTTTCGTATGAAGATTTCCCTAAGAATATATTTCGAAACTACGTTTGGATATTCTTGTAAACTACTGTACACTTTTTGTAATTGTTTAACCGTTAAGTTAGAAGTAAAGTTATTGAAAATTTGAAATGAATTGAAATGGAAAAAAATTGGGCATACTGAAATTTTATATTTGTGGTTTTAGATATCCTCCGTCATATATAAGGCATTCATCAAGTAAATTTCAATTTTAGATGAAGAAACCATTTTTTTTCTGAGAAGTAATGGTTTTTATTTACCTTTTCATAAATAGTAAATAGTGGTGGTAGATAATATTGAAAGTTTTGGTATAAATTAACTTGAATCAGTTTTTTAGCGGTATTTTAAAAGATGCAAGGTTTTCCGTCATTTTCGAAATTTGACATTACTCTTAGCAACCAAATTTTTAGTTCAACTTGGATGTTTAAGAGAAATGAAAAGAAAAGAAGAAATAAAACTAAAATAAATACTGAATCACATGTCTGTCGGACTATCGATAGGACCAAAAAACAATCGATAGTAGGGAAAAATAAAAAACATCGATAGTGCCATCGATAGTTTTGCACCTCTAATTTCTATTGTTTAATGTAAAGCTCGTCGGCGATTTCAAGCATCCGTTGTTGGTTACCCCAGCAACAAGTACATGTGTGAGTGTCGGGTTGAATGTCGGGTGCTTGAAGCTTGCCCGGCGACACTCAAGGTATTGGCCCAATGCACGCTTGCTTTGCTTACTTTAAGGCCCGTCCACATAAAACTTTGGCGTTGCGTTGGCGTTGGCGTCGCTTCAACAGCTGACTATGAATACATGAATTCAAGTGCAGCCGTCCACATAGCCAAAATTCGGCAACGCTCACGCCAACACAAAGCAAAAAGATGGCCAACTCTCATCTTTTCGCGTGCGTTGCTCGTCAGCTGTTGCAAATAAATAAAATTGTGTGAAATATTTTCCCTTTTTAATCAAGTGCAGGCAAGAAATATCGTTTTTAATGCAATTATTGATATTAAATATTAATTTATCTGTCGTTAGTATGTTAATTTAGTCACCCAAGCATTCGCTGCCAAGCGTTCATTGTAGCAATCATTCTTTTAACGTGCGTTCTGTCAAACCAACGCCAACGCCAAAGCCAACGCGAAAGT